CTGTAGTTTCAGTCTGGCCTTCATATAAGGTTATTTCATCCCTACGGGATTTTTTTCAGAGCTCTGCCTACTGTTTGCTTTAAGTTCAAACTCCGCTGAATAATAGAATCGGTGGAGGTTATTTCCCAGGAGTGAAGACGAAGCCAAGCAGAGGTTTCCAATGATTTTGATTTTTTTTGTGCTTCAATAACCTCTGAAGAGTTTAGCTCATTTTTTACTCACGCGTTCTCCTAAAACACTATATCTATATAAATTAATTTTTTTGTCCCTCAACCTCCCTCTTGTTAGCTAAAATTCCAAAGTTTCTCTCTGGTTATTCTTCTGGTAGAATATGAGGTACAGTGTAAATAAATGTTCTATGAACAAGGTTTATTTTGAATCAATCTACATGTACAATACATCAGCTTAACTTGTGATATATACTTTGCACCAAAAGTAAGTTTACGACGAAATGCCAAAACAGTTCCATAAAAACAACCTTAAAATACACCACACTCTCAAGGAATATGATAAGATTATATGAAAAAATCAATACTGAGCTGTAGCGTACTCGGCATTGAAGTTAGCACTTAATCAAAAACATAAACCTTGTCAAATAACTCGATGAAAAAAATACAAAAACCCATTTCCTTTGTAAGAGGTTTGTTCGTCAATTCAGAAAAAAATGCATTCTATTTTTCTAAAGTTTTGCAGCCTTCAAGCATCGCTAACATTAAACATGGCGACAAATCACCAATCTGCAACTTCCAGAAAGTAGGGAGTACGTAAGAACCTCAATGCTCGTCGCATCCAGGCAAGACATAACAAATCCATTTGTCGATCGCGGGGCTTCCGATAGTAAATACAGCGCTAATTTGGTATCCGCCCGCTGTGCAAATGTTGTAAACCCTGAAGATGGATAATTAACTGCATCTTACGCATTTTACTTCGATAATGATTCAAATGAACCACAAGACTGTGTCACTATTATCTTGGGCCTTGGTCAGACGTTACTAATTGTCTTCTCATATTTTATTCTATTTCATTATTATTATTATTATTATTTTTTTTTTTTGACAATCAATGACGTTTTTTTCTAATCTGATCTCTTGCCATTGCTAAATCCTTTTTTTTTTGTATGTAAAATTTCCAAGTTTCAAAAACCAATGGATTTACATATTATGACATAAACACTTGAGTTCATACTGTAAAACCCGGAGATGCACGTGGACTCGGCATTACGTATTCAATATATCATGGAAATATATGACATTCATAATATTATCTACCCGCAGTCCTGAGAACACAATACTCGAACAATTATAATGTGATTTTCACTCATGTGCTGTTACCAAGGCAACGCGATGTCAGTGAATTAAGGAGGTGATATTGTGGCAAACAGCGCGTCTTAATGTTGACATTAAGCGAGTATTCTACACTGGCAGGGACTTGCCAGCCAGATATAATATATAAGAGCAGATATTGAAATGTCTCAGATATGTTTCAATCTGAAAAGAGGTCAATTTACTTCTTATGTGGGATGTTTGTTTTTTGTTTTTGTTTTTTTTAAATATTTTGTATTTAAAAAATAAAACAACAAACTTTCCGTCTGAATGATATTAGCTGAATATCCAAAAAAGACTTAATCTTCAAATTCATATTCAGCGTCTTATCACATTAGTCCATATATAGACACCATTTTTCGTATAGAACTATCCTAGGACTAAAACGTTCTCATTGAACCTCCAGATATTGAACGGCATTTACTTCAAGCTAACCAGGGCCTTTATCGTTTGCAAACCTCGCTCTCTGGGGAACCCCATGAATATGACCGTGCCTCATCTTTAATAGGTTGCTTGGTCCTGGGAGAGGCAATACAATCCATTAGCAAATAACCATTACCGATAACAAACGTCATGATTCTGGCATCGGGCCGTCAACGGGGCATAACGCACGGGCTCAAACCATTTGACACGTGCGATATTATTGGAGTGCGCGTCGTTGTATGATGCTTAATATCGGGAGAGATCAATGATCAATATGACTGCACTATTTGCTGAACGGCTTTGTAACGCATGTTTTGTGTCAGTTAGAGATGTACAGTGAGTGCTCCGACCTCGTTGATTCCAAAGGAATATCCTCGACCGTTTTAGAAGACAATGCAGAATTACTGCATTTGAAAAAAGCATTACTGACGAGAAAAGTAGAAAGCATTTAATAACCATGCAATTAGTTGAAACTTTACACTTTGAATAGCTTATTTGATTTAGTTTTCGGTAGAAAAAGATCGAGATGTTATCAATTTCCGTCAACAGTTTTTTCTCGAGTTGGCAAAGAAAGAAAAGTTTGCAATTTTTATAATTATTCATCATATATCTCATTAGTCCAGCTTTCTCTAGTTTCCACAGTATTTCGGCCGCTTGCTATTGTGTATTTGCTTAGAAACTGACGCGCGAATCTTTATCGCAGGTGGACTAATTTCGCGACATAGGCTTAATAACTACGCAAGCTGACATACCATACTTCTGTAGCAGGTATCAGCCATATGTATGGCACTCTTAATAACGAAAAACGATTTATCTATTTGCACAGCTTTTCTGCATAGTCGACAATGTGTATATGGGCACGCTGATTACATTTTTTAATACAGTGTGATCATACGGCCTAACTGCAATAATTGCCAATTTCCTCAAACACCAGCTTATATTACATGCTGAATAAATGGCCTAGATGCCTTATAAGTTACGCAGCTGGCAACATGCTTATCTAAATAAGTCACGACGACTCCTTGATACATGTATAAAGCTGAGGTTTATCTTTTCGCGTTGAAATATTTATGCGCAAGCCGTTCGGTTTTATCTAAATTGTGAGTGACGATATTGATTATAAAACACGATCGCATATATCAGATTAAGCAGATGCTATATTATTCTTAACACATTGCTATGGTTGCTACCAGCTTACGATTAGAATCATAAAATTTCCAGTGCAACTGGAGGGGTTGGGGGGGATATTCTATGCCCCCCTCTCCATTGTTGCACCCCATCCATTCACAATGTAAACTAGAAAAGCATCCCGAGAGCTCAGACCTACGCCAAGGCAGCGATTTTTTTTATTATTATTGACTATTGATTGATTATTGATTGATTATATCCGCATCACCACCAAAAACTAATCATCTCTTCCTTTGCCCATTTCTGACAGTTCCGGAAAATTTCATCAAAAGCGGTCTATAACTTTGAGTTATGTTGATGACAAACATACAAACAAACAGACAAACAGGGGTGAAAACATAACCTCCTTGGCGGAGGTAATTAAATAGGCAAAATTTAGGCCTAAGTGGGCGGTAGTATCAAAGCCTATCTCCTGACCTCTAATGGGACCTGCAGTGTATTTTGAAGGTACTGTGCGGGTAATTCTATCATCTCGTGAACATATTAATTAATTAATTAATTAATTATGTCAAAAAGCAAGGAAGGAAACGGATATTAAAAAAGGCAGACGTATAGAATGAAATGCGTAGATATGGCTTCGCCAAATTTTAATAAGAGAAAAAGGGAAGTGCGTTTTCCACTCGCAATATTCTCGTATTTTCACTAAAACGTAGACCATGAGCAAAGCTATCAGAGACAAACCACTTTTCACGTTCTATTACATTAAATGCGCAGGTATGGTTTTGTATATTGAGTATGAACATTTCCAATTTATGAACATTTCTAATCTAAAGAAAGATATAATAATAATAGTAATAAACAATATTGATGCATAATAACATCCCATCTACCGCAAATTCATTTCGCAGAAGACAAGACGCAGTTACATTATCGTACTCATCTCAGTAATTCACCCAGCACAAGTCATTGTTTCATTAAATACATATTCCTATCTGCAAGAATCCATTATCAGTGCATACTGTCACAAAAGGATCGAAATCCGAGGCTTTAACTACGACATGCATTAAGTTCACTGCACCGAGATCCTTCGTGATTGATAACTGCGAAGCTGCAGTATGTTGTTCCTAAGTGCTTTTATGGAAGACTTTTTTCATATAGACGAACTAAACGTGACTGCACCCCGCGAAGATGCTTGCATTTTGACGTGGAAATAACGGAGGCAGAAGGCGAGAAGGAGAGGTTCTAGATAACAGTCCATCAGTGGGGAGGGAGGAGGTGGTTAAACGTAGCCTCTGCTTAACCTCTACCAGGGCCACAGATTGATTTTTCACTAGATATTCACAGAATATGTGCCTGACTAAATATGGTCCTCTAACTGTGTGGCTTGTGGAAATGTGCCTATAATATCTGCCACCCTGGTAGAGGGTATAGCCTCTGCTTTCGTTTTGTTTGCAAGCGATCGACCTATTTGCTACCCAAGTAGCCATCCTCCCTGTTCTACACTGCTTGATCCACCAGTAGTTAATACGCAAATACAACTGATCAAACATGTGCGTTCAACCACCTTCATCTCTACAAACGCAAGTGCACTGCAATGATGCGGGTTTCATATTCATAGCGAATTATCAAATATATATGGAATATACGATACGTACGCTACTTTACTGCCAGCCGCATTAACGTGACCTATAAAGCGCTAACTACATTCGAGGTGAAAATTATCACAGAATAAAGCGAATGGTGTATTATGGAAGTAATGACATATTACGGTTACATGTACATGTACTGATAATTGGACTTTTAACTCAAACACACCCACCCTAATACTACATAATACGAGGCTAAAATGTCTATAGGAATGTACAATGTTCTTGTAATATTTCTTATATATCCGTTATATACTTACAGACGTACATGCGTAGCACCATCACAGACCCCAAAGATTATATGAGATACCAGAAAAACACGAGCGACACACAACATACATATTATACTATTACGAATTACGCGAATATGTATACTACTATTTACCGCTATTGTACACTACTAGCTTATGGAGTCATACATGTATGTGCTAATAGATTTACTTTATATCCATTTTCGGATATTCTATGCCCAAAAGCTCACCTACGTTGATGTAAATGATCACCCCAATCACGGCGAGGAGAAGTAACAATCCCACCGTAATGAACACAATGTTTAGAATTTTTTTCAATAGCAAATACTCATCAGTGCCTGGGTTGAGAATGTTGCGATCCAGTCCTCCTTTGCCTTCCAGTCTGTTATCCTCTAAACGTTTGTAAATTCTTTGCAGAGTGGAGTTCTGTTTTCGGTGGGATTTTAAAGCAACGCTGTCTTTGGAATCCTCTCTTTTATCGTCTAAATTATCCATCGAGACGCTGGTGGCGTCCATGTCACTTCTAGGGTCCGATTTTGGATTTGAGGCCAGCGCCATCTCGGGAGAAATTGTGGAATTATTATTATTATTACTGTTATTATCATTAGGCTGTAACGTAGACGCTCCTTGTCCCTGCTGTTTTAATAACAATTCCTCGATACTCTCGTCATTGCGACCCGCCTCATTGATATTCACAATCTCGTCGTGCTGTGCTGATTGAGTACCTCCGCTGGCGGGGAAATCCTCGCGGGCCAATCGATCGCGTTCGTCTGCTCCGCCAGCTTCCACTGCAGAAACCGATTTGTTGTGCCTCCGGCTTAGTGGGGTGGCAGCTCGGAAGTAATGCTCAAACGAGAAAAGCTCAAAATCACTCGAGTCGTACTCATCTCCTGTAAGTTCAGGGGCACTCTTTCGGTCTATTTGACGCATGCGCGTATCCGGAAACTTCCCGTCGTTTCTGTCATCGTCACGATTGTTGCCCGCAGCCTGCCTGTTTGCGCAGCCGATGTCCTCACTAAAGGCGCGCGTATATTTAGATTTGCGTTGACCGCTTTCTGGAGGATAAAACGCGTCGCTAACTTCACTATCGTTTGGATCAGGGACATATTGCGCAACTATATTATGATCCCTTTTTTGAGATTCTCTGCGTTTTTGCGGAGATGAAGCCCTGTCGGACTGTTTAACATTATTCGCATCTTGTCCATTTTTTAAACCGTTCTGATCACTTTCGCTGTCTTTGGTTGCACGTGTACCTTTCTGACTGGCACGAGAAGCGGATCGCCTCCTTGCTAAATCTGACGAGGGCGACTGCAGCAACGGCGGGGGCTCGGATGCCGGGCGAACAACTTTACTCGAAATATCCTGATTTGGGTTAACGCCCGTCTTCTCGTTTTTAGTGATCCCGTTGGTTGCAGGCCCCCCCTTCGTCACTTCTTTCGGAGGCACGGTAATGAAGCGGTTTTGGTAATATATGACAGACCTGGCTGGCAGACCCGGTTTGTGAGGGGCACTTTCGGGTCTTTTCTCAGGCTTCTGCTGATCACGCATCTTTTCAGTGTTGGACCACGTGTTCCGGCGCACATCTCTTTCCTCTGGGACTAGTAGACTGTTACCGGTCTCATCGTCATTTTCACTTAAAGAACCGACCCGGCCCTGCGCAGACGCTGCTCTGGACTTAGGCCTGTTGAGTGAGTGCTTTCCGTAAAGGGAAGAACTCTGCGGACAATCTGAGTATTCCTCCACTTCTTTATCGAGGTCGTGACTTGCGTCAAGATGGTGAGCTTCTTTTCTACTATAACCATGCGTGCTTGAGTCGTACGAACTGGGCCGAATATCCTTTCTGTGATCTTTCTTAGTTTTCTGAGTAGGAGAGCTACTATAGAAAGTTGCGTCTGATTGCACGACCCTGTGTTTAGATTTTGGCGACTGTCGAGACGGCCGACTCTTTGGCCTATCAAAGGAACCGCTCTGGTCCTCTGACGTACTGCTTGAATATTTTCTTTGCCTTGCCGCGAGTGACAGTCTGTAGTCTCGCGGTCTCGCTTCCTCGCGCGTCACAGAGTGACCAAGGGCCTTTTGCTGACGTTGCTCGTCCGATGCGCTGCTGGATGAACGGTGCTCTGTCTCGGAGGAGTTATTCCCTGGGCTGTAAGAAGCACTGGCTGAACTTTCAATGGGACCCGGTGTCTTGTTGTGTCTTGACGGGGAAGGCGTCGTTAAATAGCTGTCTACGTCACCGTCCACCCCAGCTGGAGAGTCAAGGTATGGAGACCGTTCTGACTGTGACCTTGAAGATGACCTCGATGGAGGTCGGGGTGACTTGGATCTTGACCTAGATAAAAGTGTAGGTGAATTTGAACTTTTTGGTAGATGGCGGCTGCGGCGACCTAGACCTTGACGATGGTCGAGGTGACCTTGACCTACTACGCGCACTAGGCGATCGGAGAAAATCCTTCTTTTCTACTGATCCCTTTGACTCTGCTGTGTGTTCTTCAAGGGCTTTGCCACGCTGTTTAGGTGGGCTTCGTTTTATCTGATCCGGACTGTTTTGGTTGGCGCCATGCTTTTCATGGTTTCCGCTCTTTGTCAGTTGCTCTTCCTGGCGCTTAATATTTTCCCTTTCTTTTTGTTCTCTTCGATGGGAATGATTATGTTCCGATTTGGTGGCTTTACCCTGTGTATAAGCATCTAATTCATCACCGCTGGCGTGAGTTTTGTGGTTAACTTTCAGTCCATGAGGATTTTTCAGTGACTCAGTTTCAACACTGTAAGCGGGGCCTCCGTGTTTCTGACCCGCGGGAAAAGAATGCGCGTGACTGTGTGAGGTTAAATTACTGGATAGCTCGTTAATCGCCTCTGCTATTTCCAGTGGGCTTGGAGCACGTAGGTACGACTCCTGCCTTTCATCTAGACCGGAGCCACTCGGCTCCTCTTGGTTAACGGGTGAAACTGCAGAGTTTCTTCCGCTTCTGGGACCGTTTGGGGTTTTCCCGTGAGACTGGCCAGATCTACGGGGTTTCCCAGAGCTGTGGTGCCTAGATCTACTGGGGTAGGGCGAGCGCACGCGCGGGTGCCTAGTTACCGGCGGTGGGTGGTCTGGAACAGATAACAAATCATTATCTACGTTCACATCTTCACTGCCCACGCTGGAAGCGCGTTTATGGCGACCAGGCGACCAGGCGCCAGGCGTCTCGGTACAGGCGACATCTTCCTGGATGCGAGGAAGTGGTGATCGTCTGCTGGGGGCAGAGCCACGTGATGATTGCCGCCTTTGAGAACCGCGTGGTGACTTGCTAACAGGTAAAGCAGTAGCTTTTGCACTGACAGAGTTGGTAGGTTCCTGGGCTTTGTTTAATCCCTGTGATTTACCAGCTCCCTGTGATTTTTTTGTTGCCTGTGGGCTGCTACTAGTAGATACTTCTGGTTTACTACCGGTACCCTGTGAATTGCTACCTCCCTTTGGTTTAACGGGCCTCCTAGGGATAGAGAAACCGTTGGCGTCAGGTTCTGCCGGTTCCGCACCCGCTGCACCGTGCCGGCCAAAACTGAGAATATCCTTACTAAACTTTGGAACATCTGGCAAGGCGTTGGATAAAAACTTGGCGAACGACTCGCTAGGGGCCGCCATATCGTTCAGATCGATCTCGTTTCGTTCTCCCGGGGTTTTACTTATCCTTGTCCTGTTGCGCTCCAATACCTTCCAAAACACATTTACGAATTGTAATTGCTTTAATGCACGTTAAATAGGAGCCGGTTTGTTATTAAAGCCTGTTGAACAGAGCACATTTCCATTTCATTTTGTCTTCCGATGCGTTTCTTTGAGAATCATTTTTAAGAATCTGAACTCATGGATGCTCCACTTGTCCTTTGTTCTCAGATTTTAGAATCTTAATTTAAGATGTATTAATTGCTGTGTGTATTAACTTCATATTCCAACTGATCTTCTTTTCTTTACGATCTTGGTGTCAATCACGTTAACTTCAACCGGTAAAATTTTTGTTTGGAAAGACGAATCTATAATAGTCGTTTTTCACTGTATCCCGTTTGTCATACTTTTTTTTCTCTTTTTAATGAGCCCCTCTTTAAGTCCGATACACTTCATCCGGTAACTTTTTATATAGATAGACGGAACTATGATATTAGTTCACAATATATATGTTTTTTGTGTCCCTATTGAACAGGTCCACAATTAATTTAGATTTCGTTATCAGTCGTAAGCCTCTTATATTGAATTGTACACCGAAACAAATTTGGTTTTCATACAGTGAAGTTATTTCCCGTGTTGTTGCCAGCTGATGACTGGAAGTTCTTCAAAGAATTATTGTGGCAAAACATCAAACAACAGTTCTCTATATTGTTTGAATAGTTTACAGTTATCAGTTAATAAATCGGATAGTATGCGGTATAGTTTTTAGACGTTAACTCTTCATATTATCCATTGACATCAACTGTCCTTGTTGTCCTCTTTTTTACAAAGACATATTTTGCATATGTCGCGAAATCACCCCTCCAGCTTGGAATTTCCTTTGCTCCATTGATGTAATATGGTATTATCCACTATTCTGCAAGGAACTAATCCACACGTGGCTAAAATGTCTTGTTTTAGGCCAAATATCAGCCATGTATTTTCCAGTTGTAAACATGCTCTTGAGATAGGAATTTGGAGTAGATTTTTCTGGGAAAACCGCATGTTGTATTGAAGATGTTTATCTTCAGCTAAGGTGACCTTTGTCTATAGCCCACCGGCGACCAAAGCACCCCGTTAAGTTCCTAATCAAATTTTATCATTAAGCACCAGGTACGCCAGAGGCTTTTGACATAATTTGGTACAGGTACAGTCCAAGTGGTTCAAATGGTGAATGGCTTTCTTCAGTAATTAATGATCTCCGATCTCTTATCAATACCCTCAGATTTGACACTTAATCAGAATTATCAGACATGACCTCACAATGATGTTAAAAACATATCTGTTAAACTGCTGTGTAGGTTCACAGTCTTTAAGCTTGAACAACATAGATGAGAGCGCCCCGACTACCGTGGGTGGTGGGTGTCAAAGTTACGTAACCACTTACAGCGCAGCCAAAGTATCGACTGTCCATAACAATTTGGATGTTAAACGTGTTTTAACCGCTCCCATCAGTTAAACTCTCACGCTCTCGGCTGCCCAGCAATTGGATACAAACATGGTTTTCAAATTGTGAATTGTCTTAAATCCAAGATCCCATGGTGCTAAACGATTTTAAATTGCACTGTCTTAAAAAAAAACGAGGAACCCCGTTCGGATCGTGTTTCCAATTTGCCCTATCTCTTGCCGCATTCAGTCAGCCGCCTACACTAAATCACGACTTGTTAAGACCATCACCAAGTGAAAACAAGGAATCGGAATTGGACTGGGGCCCAAACTGGCTTCTCGCTTGCTCTGGAAGTTGTTATTTCGATTAAAGGATTTGGCCCATTTTTGCCAATGTTGACTCACTTTGTTTATCTGCTATAGGAAGCATTGGGGCGTTAAGGGTACATGGAGGAAATGATAAGAGCAAACAACACCCATCTTTTAATAGATTGGCCCAGAGGCATTGATCAAAGAACAGAGAATAACGATCCCAGGCTCGTCTTGACATGAAGCAGCATATACGTGCCGTACCAATCTAGGGATTGAAAAGATTGCCGTTGTATTTCTGTGTACTTGGAATCAAATGTCCCGTGTCGCAGTTTCTTTCGCCCGTTTCAAACCTGCCTTTAATTGTATAAATACTGATCATGCTGACAGGTTGCTTCTTTTAATAAAAGTACATATAAAAATTAGTAGACAATTAAGTAAGAGATCTTAAAAATAATAAAAATATATAAAAATACAAATAATAAACAAATGAAATAATTAAAATAATAATAAAATTTAATTAGAATAAAAAATCCTTAAAAATAAAGACTTAAAAAAAAACAAGACTTAAAAAATAAAATACAGAACAAATGCAAAGTTAAAAGAATTAATTTAGATTTAAAAGTTGTTTACTAAAAGTAAAAAGAAAAAATGTCCTAATGTAACGTTCTGTAAAATGTAAAATGGTCAGTCATACATTTTTTTGAAAGATAAGTTCTCTTGGTAACTGATTCCATTCGTACCGGACAGCGTATTCAAGAGATTTTCCCCAAATGTTTTAAACTTTGCACATTGATGTTTTAATAATAACTAGCCCTTGGATCTTAACGTGCAATTTGGTGAGTAATGAGGTACAAGTTTACAAAGATAATATGGTGCCAGTCCATAAAAAGCAACATGAGCATATATTAAAAGTTTGAATAAAAGCCTTGCATGCATGTACAGATAGCCAGTGAAGTTCTTTTAAAATCAGTATTATGTGAGTTTGAGTAAAAAAGACGAGCTGAGATCTTTTGGATGTGTTGGAGTTCCTTTGCCATTATTTGATGTTTTATTGCTTCAATGTCTGGCGTCAGTCAAAATAAAGAACACGATAAGAAACGAGTCTGATCGTAGGCTAATGATTGCAGCATCCCATTGGGTTGATATGTTAGGAAAAACAATGAACCAATTGTCTAGCAGTCTGTTATTGACAACCCGAACACCACTCATATCAGCCAATAATGCCAGTTTTGTCGTAGTTAAGGAATCTGCGGTATGGTGTCTTATAACACAGTTTTCATCTGTTTGTGGCATGATTTACAAGTAGCATTGCGCATTTCTCAAAAAAAAAAAAAAAAAAAAAAAAGAGACAAAATGTTAATTCTGTCTGTGCTGACACATACGATTTTCTCTCTCAAATATGAGAGTAAAAGGTGTAATTTTTTTTTTTTGAAATCCAAAATATTCAATCTTGTTACTTCCCTAAGAACAAACTACCCAAGAAGTGGTGTAAGTGGTGCTCTTAGTGATAACCCCCAACCACCATTATTACCAAGTTTTACAACAAATTAGTCATTCTGAAAAATGTAACTTGTTGTGACTGATTCATTATACTAAATAGCACTAGGATTTTTCTCTTAGTATTCGGTGTTCTATGCATCTGTAATGAATCATGGTTTTTCGTATGTCTCTAACGTCTCGAACGTGGATCAATAGCGCCTTGCAGTAATGAGAAATTATTACTATCTCTAGGTTAAAGATACACCGTGTGCAACTCTAAGAAACCTTGAACTGTAATACACAAACAAACAAACAAACAAACAAGCAAACACATAAACAAAAGAACAAACAATCAAGACCTAGGCCCACAGCGTGCCACAAAACGTAGAACACGTAGAACCATAATTAAACGACGCTTTGGAGATATTTTTTGCATGGGTAAATTAATATAAAACGCCATTTCACTTGCTAAACGGACCTTCCAGACTTGGAAGGCAAATGGGGCACATTGCATGTACTTGTATGTATCTCAGTGAAACCGTATAATTATAATTTTGGTTCAGAAATATAGCGGTTCTACTGACGTGAGATGAGGTGATATGAGACACTTAGATTAACACAGACAGCAAACGATTTACCATGACTAACGTATGTAATATAATACATTATTGAGCACTAAAATGTGTACAAATTACATTTTACACGCTTTCTACACCATTAGGTTGTTTTACATATATGTTTATACAAAATACATAGTCAACTAAATTAGGCATGAGGACTAAGAAATTACAGAAGGAAAAAAGGCTATTGTTAGTGATGGGTATTTCTTGAAATTAAAAATTCAGTTTTCTGTTTTAGGCCAGATCTTAATCTAGAAATCAAAGTTATGCTGTAATTATGATAGTTGTGACGGCAAAGTATGTCTGATCAATATTCTGATTTATATAGTATATTGAAGTCACGATCTTTGAAAACGTTTCTTTTTCGCCAAAAAGGCAAATTTTTTACATGTAATCCCGCCGAATGTAAATGTTTAGAAGAGAATATCTAAGAAAATGTTGAGAAAAAATTTATATTTTCACTCATATTTTCCCAGGGCTTATTGGGTATTTCTTTGGGTTCAGTTCTCAAACATCAAACACTATTGGCTTACGCTGAGAGGCATGGATTCAGCTGTGCAAACTTGATCAATAGGAATTACATTACCACCAACAGCTACGCTGTTTGCAGAGACTATTGTAATCCTAGAACGCATATGGGACCCGATATATTGCAAGGCCAGCGATCGTGGTGAGGTGTCAAGCTTCCTAGGCCGACAGCTAGCTTGTCGCACATGTAGGAGACATAGGCGCGCGTTTGGGTTTGGCGTAACATTTGGCAAATGCGTTTGTTGAGACATCGCTCACAATGAAACCCGCATTGTTCCTGACACATTACTTCCTGATATTACTAGGCCAGTAGCCAGCTATCTCAATTAAATGGGATTTTTTTATTTTTGAAAATTTAGAATTCTGTCCTAAAGTTTATCAATGCTGATTGTTAATTCAGGTCCATTTTGTTGTATGAAGTTCATATTTCCGAAGGTAACCCCATACTGCATGTGGAGCTTACGGGAAGCGCTTAGGCAATGTGAAGAAATTCTGTGTATATTGAGTGGTTGAGAAGCTGTTTAAATTATATAGATACACGCGCACTGGTGACATTAAACACATTTTGCACACAACTGAAAAGAAAATAACGTCAAAGAGGGATAATAGACTTCCTGT